TTTTTTGTGAATTGGACCATTCGTTCCGCCCTACCATTCGCCGCCGGATGAGCCGGCGCTGTCAGGGCGTGCCGTATTCCCCGTTCCGCTAGGAATTTCTCGAATTCCAGAGCGGTGAACTGTGGTCCGTTATCTGACACGATCACGTCTGGGAGGCCGTGGGTTGAGAATAGTCTGTTGAGTTCTCGGATGACAGCCTCGGTGGTGGTAGTTTTCATGTCGCTTACCTCCAGCCAATTGGAGTAAGCGTCTACCGTTATGAGGAATGTGTGTCCTTTTGTGGGTCCTGCAAAATCTATGTGTATCCTGGACCATGGTCCCCTGGGGGTTTCCCACTCCCGGATTGGGGCGGCGGGTGGGCATGGTCTGGATTCCTGGCATTGCTTGCAGCTAGCCACCCAGGCTTCAATTTGCTTGTCCATCCCTGGCCACCAAGCGTAGCTTCTGGCCAAGGCTTTTGACCTGACGATTCCCGGGTGCCCCTCATGTAGCAAGTCCAAGAATCTTTTTTGTAATTTTTCTGGGATTACCACCCTGTCCCCCCATAATATACAACCCTTCTGCATGGAAAGTTCCAATTGTTTGTTTTTAAAAGTCCTGAATGTCTCGTCGACGTCTTTTTCTGGCCAGCCCTTCTCCGCCCATTGTAATACCCGCGCCAGACGTTTGTCTTTATTGGTTTCGTGGGCAATGTCTGACGCGGTTAGGGGGAGGTGGGTATGGCCTCGATGCTCAGGGTGGATGTTGTGGGTGCTGGGTCGGCGTCCAGGTCGGGTAGTGGTGTGCGGCTCAAGGCATCTGCGTGTGTGATAGTTTTGCCGGGTCGGTGGATCAGCCGGTAACTGTAGGCGGCGAGACCCCCTTGTCATTCTTGGGGATAGAATGTTCGGGGTGGCCTTGTTCCCTGCCAGGATGCCCAACAACGGCTTGTGGTCCGTGATGATGGTGAATGTCCTGCCGTAGAGGTACTCGTGGAACCTTTTGACGGCGGCGATGATTGCCAGGGCTTCCTTGTCCAGTTGGCTATAGTTCCTTTCCGGCTTCGACAAGGTTCTTGAGTAAAAGGCGATGGGTGCTTCGTTTCCGTTTGGGAGTGTGTGGCTGAGGATCGCCCCGATCCCGAACGGTGATGCGTCGCACGTGACTGTCAGCGGGAGGGTCTCGTTGTATTGGATGAGGACGGCATTCGATGTGAGTAGGTCCTTGGTTTGGTTGAAAGCAGCTTCCTTTCGTTTCCCCCAGGTCCAGGTGGCTGTTTTATCGAGCAGCCTATGCAACGGTTCCGCCGTGGTCGCCTTTTGGGGTAGGAAAACATTGTAGAAATTAATCAGCCCAAGAAATGCCTGCAGTTCTGTTTTGTTCCTTGGTCTGGGGGCTTCTTTGATGGCTCTGATTTTTTTCTCAGTTGGGTGAATGCCGTGCCGGTCTAGGAGATATCCTAGGAACTCGACCCTCTCTGTATGCAGCTGGCATTTTTCTTTTTTGACTTTAAGCCCGGCCTCTTTGAATTTTGTTAGTACCTCCCTCAGGCGACCCTCCAGTTCTCTTTGGTTGGCTGCTGACACCAGTATGTCGTTGAAGTAGGGCACCACCCCCTTGATTCCTTGTAGGAGTCTTTCCATGAGGCTCTGGAAAATTCCTGGGGCTACACTGACTCCAAACTGGAGTCTCTTACAGCGAAAAGCCCCCCGGTGGGTTACTATGGTCTGCGGCTCGGTGGTTTCGGCGTTGACTGGTAACTGTTGGTAAGCTTGTGCCAGGTCGAGCTTCGCAAAAACCTTGCCTCCCCCCAGTGAGTGTAAGAGGTGCTGCACTACTGGGACGGGGTAGGCGCTTTGTTGTAAGGCGCAATTTAGGGTGGCCTTATAGTCCCCGCAGATTCTCACCGACCCATCGGGCTTGACTGGGGTGACTATGGAGGTCTCCCACCGGGCGTGATCAGTTGGCTCTAGGACCCCCTGTTTGATGAGCTTGTCTATCTGCTCATCGATCTTAGGCCGGAGTGCGAAAGGTACCCGCCGTGGTTTTAGGTGTATCGGGGTAACGCTGGGGTCTAGACTGAAGGAAATAGGGGGCCCTCGGTACTTGCCTAGGGTGCCGTCGAACACTTCCTGGAAGTCCCTTGCGAGTTGCTCTTCCCAGTCTCCCTCTGCGATGTGGTCGATGCTGGTTACTTCGATCCCGAGCGGTGTGAACCACTGTAGTCCCAAAAGGCTGGGTCTGTCTCTGTCCACGACCGTCAAGGGAAGCCTTGCTGTGCGCCCTTTGAAGGTTACTTCGAAGTGTCCTGTTCCGACTACGGGGATGCGGTTCCCTTGGTAGTCTTTAAGGATTAACTTCTGGCTTTCCAGCCCGCTCTTGTGGATTTCGGGCACCAGGCGCTTGATTTCCCACCATGCAACCATGGAGAGGTAGGACCCGGAGTCCACCTCCATTTTGCAAGGCTTGCCCTCGATGCCCACTTCCACGTATACCTTTCGGGCGTCTGTGCTTGATGAATGGCCGATGACGACCGTCTGGTGGGTCTCCTCTCTCTGCCGGTTTTCGCCGTCCCGTCGGGCCCGTCCGTCCCGGTTCCAACGACCCTTGGCTTGGCGGTCCCTGGGCCTGGGGGGGGGTGCCGTCTCGTCTCCGGTCGCTGTTGTCTCGTCGTCGGAGGCTGTAGGCCTTCTTGAGTCGGCAGACTCGGGCCATGTGGCCTCTTTTATCGCAGTGCCGGCAGATCGCGTCGAAAAACCGGCACTCCGATCGAGGGTGGTCGCCCCCACATCCGGCACATTGGGGTCCCGACTTACGACTCCGCTGGTCGCGCTGGTCTCGTTTTGTTTGGAGGCGATGGATGTCCTCCTCCTCGTCCGTGGTGTCTGAGGCGGAGTCGAGGTCGCCATGGTGTGTGGTGGTGGTCTCTCGGCGGCTTGCTTCTGGGCGCATCTCGGTGGCCGTACCTGCCTCGGAGGTCGCGGCTCGGTCCCCGGTGTCCGGTCTCCTCATTCGAGCCGCCGATTTCCGGGTCGCCTCGGCTGCGGTGGCCTCGACAAGGGCGTCGGCGAGGGAGATGTCTCCTTTGGCCATCAGCTGGCTTTGCAAGACTGGATCCTTGAGCCCGAGGACAACGCGGTCTCGTAGTGCCTCGTCCATATCCGTGAACCCACACATGCCCCCTAGATTTCGTAGGTCTGCCACGAAATCACTGATGCTCTCACCCGGTTTCTGGTCTCGCCGGTAGAAGTCGTGCCGTCTGATGAGGGTGGGCACGGCGGGAGCATAGTGGCTTTGGAGCAACGGTTCGAGGTCGGCCCAGTCCATCGCCTTCACGTCCTCGGGTTTAGCAAGGGCTTTTGCCATCTTAAATACTGCGGGCCCGCAGTGTGTCAGGAAAACAGCCCTTTTTTTCTGCCCGTTTGTGTCCTTGAGGTTGCTCCTTTCCAGGAACATTAGGAACCGGTCAATGTACGATTCCCAGTCCTCAGTAGCTTGGTCGAAGGGCGCGGGCGGTGTGAGGTTGGCCATCTTGTCGATCTCATTCCCTCGGGACCACTTGCTCGGTGGGGATCAGCTCTGGTATCCCATCCTCGTCGCCAGTGTTGTGTCCGTCGGGAAAGGAGACTCGGGAGCCAGTGACTTAGTTCAACTCTTTATTAAGTCCCGAGATCGGCTCGGGGTACTGAAGAAAAAGCGGCGGCTTTTATTCTCTGGCCGCGGCGGCCGCGGCCAATGGCACCGCTTTGAATCTCCCGCGATTAGTTTCCACCAATCGCGGGGGATTCGCGGCGGGCCAATCAGTGCGGCTCGCTCAGCCAATCGGGTCGCTGTGCGTTCTGACCAATCATAGCGCGGCGCTTGCAAGTATGTTAATGGATCGTACAGAACACTTTCTCTCTCTCCCCCTGAGAACGGAGCTGGAGATGGTATCCTGTGATCCCAAATAAAGAATGATCGATTGGTAGGAAAACGGGGTGGGGGATTTTCCTGCAGACTTTTTTAAGGAATTTCCCAGGGTCTCTGGTCTGTGGGATTTAAAATGATGAGTTTGGTGGTCCCTGAGGTCCAAAAGATTCGCGACCCCTGTACCAGACCCTCTCAACAGGTTGGGCAGGGAACCCAAATACTTGAGGAAGGGGAAAAGAGGGAGGATAGAAAACTCCAGAACAGGCCAATGGAGGTGAGCATAATCAGTCCTCAAGGAATGCTGGAATGAAGCAAAGTGGGGAAAATCCTGGAGCTGGTTGCAATTGCTTTAGCTTCCATTCAGATATGCCAACTAAAAACTTGGATGCAGCCCCTGAGACACTAGAAGAGACCTCAATATTTCTGCAGCTTATTTTTTTTAAGTAAATCAGATCACTACGTTTCCAAAATATGGCCTCCAGATATTCTTTATTTCATTCTTCAGATTCATTAAAATGTTTTCCTAATTTCTTTAGGCAACATTTGAGAGCCTAATATATTCTTGTGGGGCAGTAATGAGTTCTCATCAGTTACTCAGGTGTCTTTTTTTCATCCCCTTGAGCCTTCTCTCATAATGCCTTGGGATTTCAATGAAACATGAGGAAGACAGGAAGGCTGCAGTGCAGACAGGAATTTGATAGGTACCCTCAGTTGGAAAAGTCCTTGAGAAATGAGTCTGCATTGTAGGTATCTTTGTGTGTGACTTCATCCAAACAACAAAACTTTATTAAAGAATGTTTACTATCAGTATGTCAATGAAGATTCTCAGTCATCCAGATAGAGTTGCCTAGAACTTGAATCATGGCAACTGGACTTTTTTTAAAAAAAAAAATTACACTGCATCTCCAAATAGTTTCTTCGGTCTTCATTCATACTGAAGAAGCTACTTGGATCAGTAGCAAAACATTTCAAACGAAAAGTCCAGTTCCAGACGTTAATGTCAGTAAGTTAACTAAGAAAGTTAAAAACATTCATATTATGTATGTATCTATGTATGTAAGTATACCACACAGAAATTGTGCATGATTGAACAGGAATTTGTACATACTTACAAATATCCCTCCCCAAAAGGGGTAACCTCCAGGGATAATCAAGCCATTATGGGAAGGAAAAGGAAGACTAGCTATGACAATCCCAAAGAAAATGTGGATCAATCCAATCATAATTTGGACAGCCTGCGGAAGGGAAATGCACAAAATAAGACAAATTTGTTCTCTGAATACGAGAAAGACTACCATTTTAATCTGTTAACACCCCAGGAAAGGCATCATTTTCTATCCATGTTTGAAAGGTCCTTCAAAGGGGTTGGGGTTTCTAAGCTTGCAGTGCAGGTGTTGACCCTAGGCCTGGTTTCCTATGGTGAAAAATCCAACTGGGGAGAAGGGACAGACCCACAACAATATATGCTGGACAATGACTCCAGATTATGATTGACAATGGAAACTGTTCCTGTCAGGAAGAAGACCTGTAAGACTACCAAGATGGGCCTTTGAGAGAGGAATGTCACTTACGAGTCATCTTTCTATGGACAGCTCTGCAGGAGGAAGTTAAGCACAGTCACAAGCACAAAACAACTTCAACCAGCTTGGGCTGGAACCAGTCTATGACCAAGTTTTTCCCAACAATTGTACTTCTCAGAGGGAAGGGGGGAAAAGAGATCTGGCTGACACTGTGGCTGAGCTCCATATTCTTAATTAAACAGTAAAGAAAAGGAATGCATATTTGAATCAGAATTTTTGATAGAAACACAAATGAACCTACCAGGAAGAATAGAGGTTTTTGGATTATACTCCAGAAACATACAATGCTCAAGCCAAGATCTAGAACTTTAGGATGGGGCTCACAGGTCTCAGCACAGCTTGAAAAATAGTGATATTATATTGGATTTCAAACAGGCAAATAGCAAACATGTATACCCCAAATACTTTGGTCTCAGCCTTGAGGAATTTCTCCAAAGAACTCTTTCTGGGGACTTGCTGAGGAGCACTGGTGGAAGTACCAAGTTGCTGAGCTCCATGCTGAGGATATGGAGTTGCTCCAGATGCCTGAACAGTAGGACCAGGCAACCCAGAGGCTGTTTGGATGTTCACTTCTGTAGAGGGCATGACAACCAAGTTTCCACTGGCCATTTTTGCTGGAAGTATTGCCACAACTAAGTTATCTGCAAACAAGCAAGCAAGCAAGAGAAAGTTAAAGGAAGCAAAGTCTGGTCCTTTGCCTTAATCTCAGTTTACAAGATAACATTTGCCTGCAATAAAACTGTAGAAGACTGCCAGAAGGTTTCAGAAAGCAGGGAAATAAATGCACGGAACTTTCTCAGGAAGGAAAAGTTCATCATGAGGATGAAGAATTGTCTTCTTGCTTACATTCCAACATTCAATGCAAAAGGTGTCTTTTTCGTTCTAGCACCACCTCAGATCCACCCAGCTACTGTAAATAGTATCTCTCACATTGACAAGGTCTTATTGTGATTGCCCTTCTGTGCTTTTAATAGCAGGTGTATCTAAAAACATCAGGTATGGACAATCATGTTGATTGCCATCTTCCAGCAAGGTCTTACAGATTTGGACAGAATAAGTAACTGAATGACAGTATCCGTATCCCAGTTTTGCTTCTTGAATGTGGGGAGGTTTCTTATCAGGACTCAACTGGAGCATCAGCCTATTTTTCCTAGCAAAAAATCTGGATGACCCCAGAAATTAGTGAAGTGATACAGTAAAGACCCACTGCTCTCAACATCTAGCAGCCCTCCAGATGTTTAAAACCCCAAACCAATAGCCTGAATTAAGCACACGATTAGGATTTGTACATCCCTTAAGGCAGTGATCCCCAACCTTTTTTATGCCGCGGCCCGGTACCGGCATCAGCTGGGCGCCGCGGCCCGGTACCGGCATCAGCTGGGCGCCGCCATCTTTTTTTGATGAAAAAGTGCTTCCGGTGAGGTCACCGGA